ACACTAATCAGACCAGTGTTCAACAGTCTTATCCCCTTGGCCATTTTTTGAGTCTTATTTCTTCTGGACAGCCATAATTAAAATTGAACAATTTCTGATAATAGTATAATGCATATACCTTCTTTTCTGAGCTTGTTTTACATTCTTATCATTTTGAAGCTGATGAAAATCGAGATAAACACTAAAACAATGGAAAATGTCGAATTCTTATTATAAATATCTGTTACACCTTTTAAAACTAAAATAGTGGTATTTCTTTGTTAAAGTGGCCCTCGAGAATGTATCGTTAGTCATATGAAATATCTCGCCAACATTTGGCTGTATGTTCTTGTACCTTGCCATGTGATCATATATTAGTGCCTGCTGCATGTTCTTATACCTCGTGACATAATCATATGTTAGCACCATGCTGCATTTTTACTGCCGGAATGTGTTCTTATATTATTCATTTTTACGAGGTTTTCAAATTTGCATTGTTTATTTAAAAATATATTCATTGCTTTTTTTGTGTGTGTGTGAATGTGATATTAACAATCTTTAATTTTATTGGTTTTTTTTTTTCCCCCTCAAGAAAGAGGTCTTTTATCTGACAAATGAGTATGCAAAAATATCCACAACATGAAACATTATATTAATGACAAAACCATTTGGAGATGCAGTGTTAAAATTTGCAAAAAGAAGAGAGCCTCCATGCTGGAAACTGGTTCAGTGGTTCCCGAATATCATTTGTCACTGCTTTTAGATATATGTATTATTGGGCTGAGGAGTTGACATCTATGAAATGGTGTAACAAACAGCTTAACCCTTTGCACTCGGGGCCTTTTTTGCGCGGCGCACCAGCAACTCGAGGTGTTTTGCAGCCTTTTTGACGCATTTCCTACCATTAACTTAAAATCATTACACACATGTATAAAATTTTTATATTTTAGCATTTAATATATCTTTATACCTTTATAAACATAATTTCTTAAATATTAAGCTCTGTAATTTGTCTGTGTATGATATTTCATGTAACAATTTCCAAGATGCATGCCTTACTTGTCAGGGCAAGTATTACAATAATATGTCGTTTGATGTCTTTTTCCGGTTTCATTTCTCCGAGAACAGACTTTGTGAAAGATAAGAAAAGATAGGATTTCAGATAAAATCTTATCTCCATTTAAAGGAGTATCATTTTACACTTCATAAGATTATTTATAAAGAGCGTAAGAGACCCCTTCGAAGAAATTAAACGTAAACAGTTACTGCCACGCATCGAGTTTCCTCATCAATCCAAGTGGTGAGCGAGAGTCATCTCTCGAGTTGCGGCATCAAATCACATGGTGAGTGAGAGTCATCTCTCGAGTGCAAAGGGTTAATATGTATGAAAATGCTGCAGTTGACTGGAACAATTACATGTGATATAATAATAATAAGGATATGATTCTTAAAAATATTCTTAGGAAACAACATGTGAGTATTATTGTTATTATTATATATTGTATCGTTTATTTTTATATTCATGTTTCACAAGCTTGGTGAAATTATATCTAAGATCTTGGTGCAAATCTAAAATCGCCAAATATGGTTGTGGGCCGCTGTAACAAAGAAGTACCAAAACAATTTTAAAATTAATGGCTATATTATCTTCCCACATTTCTTGATCCAAGTCAATTATCCATTGAGAACAGTTGTTGTTCTGATTTCAAAAATTTTTTCCTGTATGTAAGTGTTTAAAAGCTGCCTGTAATATTTGTTATATGTAAAAATTTGTGTCTAGTATTTTATCTGTTCTTTCAATGTATGTATTCACATTTAATACGTTTCCTCTTATTCAATATCCTTTTATTTACAAGATATTGTCAAGAGATGTGTGCCTCCTTTATTATTTTGCAAGAAAATTGACGACTAAACCAGAAATATTCTGATGTTAAATTCTCTTTTAAGATTTTATAACACTGTAATCCATGTCTAGGTTGTTGAACTGGAATTTCGGTGCATGTAAGATCTTTAAAAAATTAAAGAAGTGGGAAGTTCAGTCTGTTTTTATTAATGCTCGCTAATTTTATTGTAGTTATGTAAAGACTCTTTGAGAAGGGCTATCAGTCCCAGGTCTGAAGAAAGACATTCAGCAGTATAAACTGGTTGTTGCACCACATTACTTACAATTCAAATTAAATTTGGAAGAGGGATTAAGTTAAAAAATGTATGGTAACTTATCCCGTGTTACTGTCCTTGATATAATAAAGTCAACTTTGTTGTATATTTGGCTGCAGTCAGCTCTTCAAAGCTAAACTTATTCTGGTAGCAAAATAGTACTGTCAGTAAATAATTTCACTTTGGGCACAGGAAGTACAAACTTAGGTCCACACTAACTTTGAATCTCCTGCACTATGTTTAAAATCTTTATATTTATAGTTGGTGTATTACTGTGAGGTACTAGTAAAATACTTTGTACTGTTTGAGCCTTCTAAGTTTGTACTGCCTGCTTTCATCATGCTATCTTGAATATTATGCTTGTACTTTTTGATTAAAGCTGCATCATTCAGTTTTGATCTGTACTGAGGAATTTTGGCTCATGTCTTCCCTGTGTATTTGGCTCAGTATTATTGGGAAAAGTAACAATTAACGTTCTCTAATTTCAGAAAAAATCCTCCCAAAACTCACTATAAGAAATTTTTTTTTGTAAATTTAATCAAGTTCCCCAATTTTGTCATATCCATTGATTTTTAACTGTAGCACATAAAAAGAAAATTTGTACCTCTCTGTGATTCATTTAAAACAAATTTTGTTTCTCAAGTCTTGAAAGATTTTTTCCTTACCATTAGTAAATAGATCATACACTTCTCAAATCTTGAGATTGTCTCCTTACCATTAATAAATAAATCATACACCAGTAGTGAAAAGTATGCTCAATTTAACAAACCACACTTCTTTTCAGACATCTTTTTCTTTCTGACATGAGCGAAGGCTGCACACTGTAGTGTTGCAAATTTTAAATGTGCTAATGTAATTTAATTAATTAATCTTAAGGTTTTTATTTAATTGAAATGATTTGTGACTAGCATAGTGGATATTTATTTGGCAGTTAAAAGCTGTTATTGTATTTATTTTCCTTGCTTAAATTATTCTCATGAAGAAGAAGGGAGTGGTTTTTGAGAACATCTGGACAGAAGAGGGGGTCAAATTACTTGATCAGTGTTCCCCAAATAGATTCTCTTGGCAGGTTGTGAATAATAGCATTTACAATGAGGGAGCTGTTAAAGTATCATCGCTGCTGGACACCTGTCATTTCCTTTTTCCACGCAGTAAACAACGCCTCCAGCAGCAACGATACTCTAACAGCTTTTTCTCATTGTAAATGCTATTCACAACCTGCCAAGAGGATCTATTTGAGTAATACTGACCAAGTATTTTGACCCCTGCTTCCGTTCAAATGTTCCGAGAAACCACTCCCTTCATCTGCATCTGCAAGTCTAAGCATTGAAAATAAATACAACAAAAGCTTTTAACTTCCAAATAAATAGCCACTACACTAGTCACAAAAAATTTCAATTAAATAAAAAACTTAATAGCAATTAATTAAATGATATCAGCACAGTTAAAATTTGCGAACAACACTAATTTCATCAGAATCATTTCATGAGGTGATTATATTTAAACATAATCTTTCTTTCTGAATAACATCTGTCTTTCTTGAAAAAATATGAAATATGACAAGACAGTTATTGCCGGAAGAGAAGCCAAACTAAACTCGTGATACCTGGTGCAAAATATTTCAATTTCAAAAAAAAAAAAAAAAAAAAACATTAAGTGACATGGCTGTAAAAGTACCTCAAGAATTTCCTCAATGAATTCAGTGAAGCTTCAAATTTTAAGGTTCTACTTGTGAAATTGTTAAATTTAATTTATGTATGGATTTTTTCAATGATAGTGACAAAAATTAAAGTTCTTCAGATAGTTCTGAATATTCAAATTCTGTAGAAGAGAATAATATTAATGTATCTGTTGCAGTTTTGTCATTTCATTGGAGTATTAACATAGAAGGACTTCCTAATATCAGTTTCACAATGAAAACATGATATGACTTGATATAAATGTAGTTTGCTTGAAGTACGATAAATGACTGGACACGGCTATGAATGTAAATTATGTAATGTCAGTCTCTGCGCTCATCTATACTTTGAGATTTTTCACATGGCTTTGAAGTATTATTAATTATTAAAATTTCTTGAAATATTTTATAATATTTACATTAACTTGTGATTTTTTTTTTTTTTTTTTTTTTTGTGGAGATATTTAAAACAGAAAGTTTATGTCACGTAACCTACTCAGTGACTTTGTCATGCAGTCCAAAAAATCTTGCTGGACGTAGTGTGAATAATGATTGAGTGCTTCGGGCAGGGATGTGTTTGGAACTCAATAGTGGAAAGCTCAGTGATATTATTTTCAAGAAATAACCACATTACATTTCTCTTTTTTATGTACTTCCTAGAAATATAACCGTTTCTGCATTAAAGGCGACTTACAGTAAATATTTTGCTTGTAAACATTGTCTAACTTTTTCTGCAGCATCCTGTATATCCTTAATTATTTTATTCTTGTTATGTTTGCTGTTAATAAATTTTATGTTATTTGGAAGAACATTCTTGCACCATCAGCCATGCTGAATCTTCATCTGCAATAGAGTCTGCTGATTACACAAATATATGAAATTACAGAAAACTGGTAAATTTAAGTAAAAGTAAAAAATGTTGATTTCTCATGGATCTTCTTATTGCTCTGAATGATTTTGTAAATTCCATTTAAAATCATAATTAATATTAATTATTCTGACTAGTACTAACTAATATTAACAATAAATTACATGAATATCATATAAAGGAAGTAGTGACTTCTCAGTTGTTTTAAAGCTATTGCATGGAAATACGTTTAATATTTGTGCATTAAATACATCTTAATAACTATTTGTAGAGTAAAAAAATTATGAATAATATTTTTAACAAAATTTAATTTTACAGAGGAATGTTCCCAACAGTTATCCTCATCTGAAGAGACGGATGAGTCACCATCTCCAAATAGTTCCATTGATAATGTTGTACCAGTAGAAGAAGAAAGAAAGGCATTAGTGGACAAAAGCTCTGCATCAAAAGAGGATTTTAAAAGTTTAACTACAGATTCTTCTGTTGAGCACCAAGATAACTTTAGAGAAAAATCTGAAGAGGTTGATACCATGAAATGCACTAAGAAATCACCTCAGAAGAAAAACAAAAAATCCAAATCAGATAATGCTGAATCAAGTAAGATTTTACTTTCTGTCTTTGTTCTGGGTAATTTATTTTAATGAGTATTAAAATAAAAAATTGTTGTATTAAAAGTTAATAAAGTTAATGTAATTGTTGTATTGAAAGTTGATACAAGAGCAACTCTAGTGAAATTAAGAATGTTTTATTTAAGTTCTAAATTATGTTATGATTCGTTTCACTTAGAAATTTAAACTATTTAACTAAAATTAAATGTATAGAAAATTTGCATTTTAATTCTCATTAAAGATATATATCTTTTAGAAGTAACTGTTCATAATTAATGAATATTGATTATTATGAGAATATTTAATGTATGAATATTTTTGCAATAATTTTTATTCTGTTAACTTGATAATTTATTGCACTTTGTAATCATGCAGCTGTCTTATATAAATATAATCAGCAATTTTCATTATATAATAATCAGCAATTATTATGTAATTAATATAATCAGCAATACAAATATAATCATCAATTATTATATAATTAATTATGTAATAATTTTAATTATATAATTAGCAATTTTAATTAAGAATTCCAGAGGAAATTGATTTAAAAAATCATGTTTTAATTTCTGATTTATTTAACTGATTATACAGATTCTGAATATTCTGAATGGAATGGAGTTCGGATTGTAAATGTGATAAAATCTATTACCTTAACAGAGGAAGAAATTCAGCATATACATGATTTATTAAATTCAAAACAAAAAGGAGGTGATAAAAAGGTATAGTATACTCTTCTTAAAATGGAGGGCAGGGTGTGTTCCATATTGTTTTATTTATTTTATAGTGGTTTTTAAAATGATCTTATATTATAATTTTTGTGTCTTGGGGGGGATTTCTATGTAATGATTCTATATGAGAGCTGTTTTACTTGCAATTTATTGAAATGATGAAGTTGAAAGGAATAGACATCCTCAGCATGTCTGGTTTGAATTCTGTAGGTCAGTTTATATGCACATTTTTTTCGAAAAATAAATATGTAGTAAAATATTTATTTTAGAGATAAAAAATTTAGCATGTAAACCTCATTCTTAGCTTGCAGAGGCAAGAAAACTATCATGAATGCAAAAAATCTAATTCTAGTTTGTTTTATCATTTATTCCTACAAATCTTCTGATATAGAGAATTAAATTTTCCAAACATTTAAATTCAAAAACAGTTGATGTTAAAAAAATATAAATACAGGGAAATTTAAATCATCATATGCTTATAATTAACTGTAATACATACTGTGTAACTGATAATTTTACAGTCAACTACTGTTGCTAGTGTATTGGTAAACTTCATAATTATATGACTGGTTATTAACAATTTTTAAAGAATTGTCAGTTCAGCAAGTAACATTGCAGTAAATTGTGTTTTCCAGTTGTTCTCAGTTACTTTTTCAATACTTAAATATTACCTGACTGACCAAGGAAATTGGCTACACCGAACCATGAAGGTTGCTGGAAATCTCATTGAAGTTGTGTCAGTCGTTCCTGCAAAATTCTGAATGAACTGATGACTCTTTATTTAATGAACTGCTGCACAGCATTCTTTATTTGATGTATTTGACAATACAAATTACAATTTTTTATTTTACCAGATTAATAACTTCTAGTTCTGCTGGAAGTACTGTTTCGCTATGAATGCAGACTTCTTGCAAGTTATTAGATATTTATGTATTAATGAAACCACCTTGATTATTTTTTACAGATGAAAATGTAAAAGTTACTTATCGGATGTAAGTATTTGGCAGTTTTCATATATTATTTTTAAAAGATTGCCAAACTATATTGTAAATGGGCGAATATCATCAATGTTTCTCATCATTATTCTCTTTATTAATTTTGCAAAAAATATTGCTTTTCTTCAGAAATGTTACCACAGTTTCTTCCATTGCTGACAAATTCCACAAATTTGTATTTTAAAATTGAGTTTAAGGCAAAAGATATTGTGATTTTCTGTAAAAAAAAACCACTGGATTAGGAATTGGTGATGCAACTAAAAGCATGTGAAAATAATGAGGCTGCTTAACTGAAGGATTTTATGTGCATGATTGTTTGACGAATCGTTAAACTCCTATCACATATACTATTCATTGCCGGAACACAATGTTGAAAGAAACATTTCTCGGAACTGCGTTTCATGAAACCGGGTTACCATTTTCACTTGATAAACAGACTTGAAAGCTAAACAGGAATCAGTTATCGCTCAGATTGGCAAAAGAAACGTTTGCTTTCAAATTCCGTGTATATACAAAATATATTTTATAATTATTTTAATACTGTTGGCTCAATACCTTGGCGGAATGACATGTGTTATAACATTAATTGTTACTCTTAAATCGTATATTTTTTACTGCGATTCTTGTAATTATCTGTTGTATATATTTTTGTAAATACTTTTACATCGTACATTCAGTGATTTTTCATTATTTCTGATTTTTATTATTGTAAACAGTATTTTTGTATCCATACATTTATTTAATAACTCTTTTATGTACACAATATAATATCATTTACTGATATGTTTCATGATGAGTGAAAAATGCTTATTTTAGCCCCAAAACGTTAAATATTTCATATAAGCTACTTGCTCAGTTTTTTAATTCCCAAGTAAAGTACAAATGCAAAGGTTATGTTCAAATGTGGGAATTTTAATGACTAGCCTAATGCACAAAATGCACTTCAATTATTTTATTTTGCAACTGTGTATTCCATATCCATGATAATGTGCAAAGAACTGATGACTACAGTTGCTGCCAATTACATGATCGTTATATGAATTAGAAGTAACTTCTAATAAAACTTTTGGCAATGTTCATTTTTGTATTCATACATATATATATATTCATGCAAATCTAATAAGTCACATATTTACATACACATAGAGAGAGAGATGCAATGGTTATGAAGTTGTTGATGTAATGTTTATTAGTATTAATGTAATGAATAAGATTTATGTTAATGAATGTATATGCAAATGTTTTTATCATTCATAATAATAAATCTATAAATTTCCGATGTTTCGCTATGTAGTACAGTCAAAATTCGTTAACCGGACACGTCAAGACTTCGGCGATTCCGGATTATAGATCATCAGTTTAAATCTCATAAGATGGCATGCAGAAATTATAAAATTAAAAATATGAAACCGTAATTTATGAAATAAAGAACAATTATGATCTAAATGGTATCAAAATTTACAAAAAAAGCTTAATATTTATTTGTTTCCTTTATTAAATATTTTTTTCAATGTAAGCTGTTTAAGTTGCTTTGTTTTATGTGATAATACTTTCTCTTTTATTCTATAAACAGACATAATTTCTTGTTCAATTACAAAGTTCTGCTGTTTAAGTCCTATAAGTGCTGTGTCGAGAATACCGACTAATTTGTCAATCAAAATTTTTTCGTTTTCAATAACCTCTGTTTCACTTTCTTCACTATCGGAAGCGAATTATAATGACGAGGAATTTGATTTAAATCATATCAAAGGCGGAGTACATCGAGATGAAATACTACATTTAGTAAGGAATTATAAGCCAAATAAAATAAAAAAATCTGTCCTGAAGATAAGGATAGTGCTGACAGATCAACTTGCAATTCATTGCGCCCAGCGGCGTTCCCCCCCTTCCCCGTGCGCTGAGCAGCGTGAAATTGATAAACAGGTTTCGGAATGGTTAGAGAAAACAAAGGATATGCTTTTATCCATTTTTTGTTTTAGGACATCGAAACATACTTTTGTTTTGTAGATCCTTTGGGAGCTCCAGCATCGGAAATTCTATTTGACATAATCGAAAGTTCAAGCTTACTTAAAGTATATAATTATAAAAGGAGTATAAAATAGCTCTAACAGTCTGCAAAAAATAAGTCGGATCCAATTTGAAGATTAAGGAACAACGCAATCTGCAACATTAACTGAAATCGATAATTAGATAATTTTAGCTTATACCGTCGGTTATACATTAAACGCACATGCGTTTAATGTATTATGCGCATGCGCACACACATATGCGCAGCCATAAAGGTCTTACACCATGCATAAACGCCTATGCCTATACGCCTATCAATGCGACACATGCGCAGAAAGTTTGTAGCTTTGAGGTCCGAATTACAGATCGTTCCGGATTATGGGTGTCCGAATTAACGACTTTTGACTGTATTTATAACAAAAATATATTTCTTAATGTATTTATAATCTAAAAAGCATTTTTTTAATAACATGAAGATAATATCATGCAAATGTAATGTGCATCCTCATTATTACATAATCTGCATTTTCCTTTTTTACGCACCTTAATTTTTTACAGTATGTTGCTGATTATGTAATTTCAATTTAAAAGTAGTAAAAGTAATTAGCAGAAAAGTAAAGTCGTGCATGTACATACAGATTTTAAAAAATTATTCACCTTAATAAAAAATTCTATTATATAACAATAACATTTCATTTCGCATGATCAGCATGAAATACATAAAATTTGGCGACGAATAATTTGTAAACAAATCACCAGAAACAGCACATCATCACCAAGCATGTCTTAAAATATTGTCTACTCTGAAATTTTCACGATTATAAATTTAATGAATATATAAACATTTTAAAAATGACTTAGACAGCAATGTATATACGCCTTTTTCCATATTTCTTGAATTAAATCGGCTTCTTTTTCCATTGTTCAAGATCTCGCAGTTGCAGCCTTTCATGATCCTTCAGAAGCAGAACTTTCATCTGACTGGTTGGTCTCTACATGAAACACGGCTGCGAACAAAACATTTTCGGAAAAGTTTCAAAATGCTCCTCATAGCCAGAACATCCCCTCGTCAGCTAGATGGAACGTTTCTCGGAAACCTCCTGCTTAAACCATTGCTACTAGAATCTCATCTCTCAGAAATGCCCCACTTAGCCGCACATATTGCTAGATATGATAGCCCCTTTATGCACATGGCTGCTAGAGTTTTGCACCTTCTGTAAAATTTAGCGACTTGTACTAAGGTGGCTGTGATAATACATAAGTACTGTTATTATTTCAATCTGTTTTACTGTCTATTGACCCTTTCTAGTTGTTCTTTTTCCCATTTAGTAACAGTTAATTCTTTTGAACAGCTGTAAATGAACTGGAGTACTGGCACAAATGTTGCATTACCATTGTTAATGCCTTTCAAATAAAAGTACCATATTGTGTTCATTAATGCACACTTTTTTATGGTGGGATCCCATAACTTTGAAATTAATAACTGCTTGCTGTTCTTTATAAGACAAGTCCCAAATTTTAATTATTTTTTCCAAAATGCAAGAAAAAAATACAGAAATAACATTTATTTCATAATTATTTAAAGAAAGCATCTTATTGATAATCAGTTAGGTTTACATAAAACCACAAATGTTATGATGTTACACTTATCCATAATTAGTGCTGAATTATGCTATCCATAATTAGTGCTGAAACTGCTTGATAGCAGTTTTGCTGTTGACAGGATAATACATAAGCACCATGTTTTTTTAGACCTTTGCAGGTGGGAGGGGAATTTGGCTAATATAACTGTTAAAAATAATTACTTTTTATTATAACATTTATCTTCTTACATGCATCTACATCTGCCACATATATGTTGTAGATATCCATAAAAAGTGTATATAATACTGCAAACTCAATCTGAAGTGTTTGCTTGATATGTACTGTGGATTTTATTTTAATTCAACAGTGTTTCAAAGTGGAGAAAAAACTATTGAAAGTAATTTA